ATTTTGAACACGGCTAATTACAATATTAAATTTGTTAATTTTCAATTAATAAATGATTATATTTATTTAATTAGGGTTATAAAATAATTTAAATAATAAAAATCAAATAAGCTTCAATTGTTAATGCTAAATTAATATTTAGACATTATGAGTGATATTGATATTCCATTTTTAACACAGAATTTGTTTACAAGCTAACATAGTGAAAATGAAATTTATATGTATTAATCTAATCTAATAAATAAAATTGCACTCATTTAATAAAAATTCAGATAGTCTAATTAATTTTTAAATAATCAAATCTATTATAATACTTAATAGAAAGGGGACTTACAAAAAATCTATTTTTGGTTCAGGGGGATATTAGGGAGCCATTAAGAAAAAAAAATTTTTTGCTTCAGAAGGCTAGAGCTTCTGCCCCCCCCCCCTATAGTGACGCTACTAATATGAGTATTCTGAAAAATATTCGCAAATTCGAGTTCGAATCTTGAATTTAAATTATTAACCAGTTAAAAATCACATATATTTTAAAAAATTTGTTAGCTTCTTAATACATTTTTGAAAAATAATTTTTACAAAAAAAAATTTCAAAATATATTTTAAGGTGGCCAAATTATTTATAAAATTCAGACGGTGGAATTTCGAAAAACCCGATTGGACCTTAAAAAGGGAGCTTTTGCAAATCTCTGCAAAATAACATTTTTCTATCTTTTAAAAAAAATAAATATAAAAATGTGTTTTTTTGAAAAATAAAATTTTTATCCATCCTTAATCATTATTGATTTTTTATAAAATATCTTTTGTCCATAATTTTCATTAATTATTTTTATTATATTATTATTATTATCACTATATTATAAGTTTATTGGTTTTTTAAAACAAAAAATATTAATTATGAGTTGCGACATTTTATACCTTTTTTTAAATAAAAAATTTAAAAAAAATTGCAGGTCATAAAAACTAGCGAAGTAACAACGATACTGAGGGCCAGGTTTTTCCTACCTATATTTTTTTTCGTAGTTGAATAATAAATATATATATAATAAAACAACTTAAATGTTTGATTTGATTTTCGGTAAACTTTAGCAATTTTGTATGATTACGAATCTTAGGGCCTATTTATAAAATTACATGAATACCAATATGATGTTATATATACTATTGGAATGGCGATTCAATAAATATGTCCCTACATAGGAGTCAGCTGTAGCGCGGTTTGCACGTCGAATTATATATGAATGCACATTAATATCATTTATTGACATGCAAACCACAAAATTGTGTTACAATGTTACAACTGATTATATGGACACTTCTGTATTTAATGAATGAATGGCCAATCTAGTAGTATTTCCACAAATAATCAAAGCACACTTTTAGAAGTCAATTTAATTATTATTCCAAAAAAAAATCTAACCATCATATCATATTCAAAATTTTTATTTTAATGAATAACCTTTGTTCGCATTTACATACCAATTTCTTTTATTCAAATATCATTGACGACTTTTAACTCAATGATTAATGAGCTCATAAAATTTATATATAGCCCAAATTCACTGCGATGCATTCTCTGCATCCCCCGGATGTTACACCAATGGTATTCCATTGAATATCTTAGATCTTATTACCTACTAAAAAATTTACTTTTTTTAAAATTTATTCAGGTTTCATATCCAAGGATTCAAGTGTTTAGGAAGTCTTTTATAATCCACGATTTTCTATAGAGTTAAGAGAAAAAAAATTGAAGGGATCATTTTTTTTTAAATACTTAGTCTACCCTCCCCCCACCCCTCACCAGCCTTCTGTGATCATTTCTCCTACCTAAAATGATTTTGTATATTTATACCTTTTGACAATATATTTTCAATATAAATACAAGTATTAGCTTTGGTTTATATATTCTTTAGATATTTTATATAAAACTAACTACATTAATTTTTTTTGATAATTTTAACCTGGGAAAAGTTCGGATAAGGGCTGGCCTAAAGTCCACCGATAAAATTTTAAGGTGGCGCAGGGAGAGTTTGAGTTAAGAATTCGAATACAATTTTCATTTTAGGACCATAACTAAGATTTATAAGATTATTTAACTCTATCTGATCAACTATATTTACAAATATTAGAAAATAAGGTATTTCTATAATTATCAAGTGGATATTTTATCATCTAGTTATTTTATAATATTTTTCTAAGATGATTTAAATAAAATTTTTGAAAAAAACAACTTTAAATTTAGGTTCTGTTTGGTTTTAGGATATTATTACTTCATTATCTCAACATCAAAAATAAAAATAACTCCCAATTATCTCAAAAAACGAATAATTATCTCAAAATTTGCACTTCATATTTAAATCGATAAATTTTTGGATAGTAATATGACAAATTTAATAAAGAGATATATATAACAATGGGAATTTTAGATTTATTATAATAAACTATTTTCATTTTTTCATAGGGTCTGATGGATATGAATTTAAATCTGTTGGAATTATATTCATTCAGCTTCAGCCTATTACATAATCGAAGGATTTTAAAATACTTCTACAATTCATATTTTTTATATTAAAAAAACATTTTCAGAATCGATCAAAAATTGTGTATTTTTAATTTGATCATTTTTTTGTAATTTTTATGGTGTATAAACAGATTAAGATATGAATTAGGTAATAAATATCATCGCAAAATGTAAATAATATAACTAAATTACTTAAAATTTAATCATACTTTATATATTATTTGAGCAAGATTTAATTTAATATGTTGGATTTGGGTCGATTTCTAAAAACGGCCCTATTAAAATTTTAGCTAAGATATTTGCTCATAAATGGCAGAAAGATTTGGAACCCCTATTTGCCAAATCTCGAGGCTTACTTATATATTATTTTGGCTAACTAAAATCTTAATCGGGCCGTTTAACAAGGCCCTATTTAAAAAAAGGAATATGATTCCAACAGTATACTATTCGTACTCAATTTTTAAACGTAAAAATGAGAATATTTAAATTTACTAATTGTATTCGATTCTAATAAATTGTTTTTATTATAAGTTTAGTCATGCGAAAATATAATTTAAAACGGAAAAACAAAAGTCAATGAAAGATAGGACGAAAACAACATTTAGAATTAGTGGCATATGAAAAAAAAATAACCCAAAATTTATCTTTAATTCATTTTTGTTGAAATTTAAGAATCAAAATCGTCGTATTATATCATAAGTATTATTTTGTATATTTATATTTATTTTTACAAATTTTTCAATAAAAATAGCAAAAGTGTTTCAGTGCCTATTTGTTTTGTTTCAAAAAATATTGGCCCACCCAGATAAACAGTTACCCCTCCCCCCATCCCATTAGGAATTCCTAGCTAAGGATTTATATTGTTTCCTCTTAAGATATGTTTTTTATGCAAATTAGTTGTAAGTGAGAAAAGCCTTTCATAAGCAGTTGATATACATTGTTAATCACTTGTCAGAATGACAGGTTATCACTAGAAAATGAAATGGAAATTTTTAAAAAACAATAATGATTATTTCAAATAATTTGATTCGAATAATTGTTTATTCATATTGTTCGAATCAAATGAATAATTTACTATTCGTATTATTTTGAATGATAAATTCTAATTTATGTATATTTTCTTTTAATTACAATTCACTTTTAAATGATGAGAATGGCCAAAAACGCCAAATATATTATATTTCGTTGGGGGTCGAGGCTTAAAAATCTTTTGGGGGTTAAGCACTCAAATGCCTTTCCCCCCCATAGTTAAATCTAAATATTTTTAGCCCCCCCCCCAATATTTTTTTACCCCTCTACTCCACTAATCTAAAAAAATCCAGTAAAAAAGAGAAATAAATTAATAAAACTATACCTCTCCGACCTACTACCCCGTTCCACTCCTATTTTCTCCTACCCCCTTCTATCCTTATTTTATTTCAGTGGCGATTTTTCTCCTCATCGTGAAAAGTATCTTATTTGAAGAGAATTCATTATCTCAATTTAATCTTGTATTTATTAATTTCTGAGATAAAATGAGGCAAGATATAAAGAAATTTTACGCACTTTTTAAAGCAATAGATTTTGATCAATTAAAAAAACGATTACCCGAAAATTCGGGCCTTATTCAGCATATGGTAAAATATTTGCCTGATTTTAGAATTCTAAATTTAAGATCTCATTTTAAAATGAGATTTGGGCAACTTAATAGTCAGTATCTATTTTGTAATTGAATCAGTTATGTTTTCGTTATTTCGTTGCCTAAGAATTGGAATATTCTATTTCCCTTTTTTTGTAATTTTAGAGGAGAGCACTTTAAAAAAATAAAATGCTTTTATTGTTTTCAATTGGATAGTTAACCTTTGTAACGGATTAAATTTGAGTTATTTTATAAATATTTTGGATTTTTTAATGTAAATAAAAAATTGATTTATATAAAGTCATTTTTGGCAAAGAGTGGATATAAAATAACCATTCTCAGGCGACGATTTGAGAATTTCAACGGCACTATCTTAAAGAGGAAATCTAGAGACCTCTGCTTAAATATATGGGCATCTGTAAAAAACAAAATGAAGTGAATTATTCTAAAATATGGTCAACCATTGATAGACGCAGTGTTAAATGGGATATTGTTTTGTTAAATTTGATAAATAAAAAATTAGCTGTGGTACTGGCTAGTATGTCAAATTTAGCCAAAAAATATCACTTAATAGTGCATATAAAGTGAGCGTTTCAAACACAGGTAAGTCCCATTCTGCCATCTATGCTGTAAATCTCGATTCTTAGGTAATATTATTAAGATTTAGCCTTTTTTTTAAAAAAAATAACCCCCGTATATTGTGGTTTTTGAACAACAATATATCATGTGACTTTAGAAAATATACTTTATGGTAGATTTTATTAAAATTGAGATATTAATATGAGTATTATACAGTTATAAACCTTTTCATTTATATTAAACTTATTTTATTTTTCAAAATCTTAAAAAATAAATATTACATAGCAGGATGCAAATAAACTGCCTCGGACGAATAACAGATGGATAATGTATTGTTTTTGAAGTCCACCTTATTATGTTATGACTGTATTTAGAAAATATATATTATTGCAAATCTAAAAAAGGCATTTATAAATAGTAATTAACCTTCCGTTACCTTTTTCTCTAATGTATATCTCGCTGTCCAAATGTGAAATAAATGTCAATTAATTATGTTTATAAACCATAATTTGATGAATTATGAACTGCGTCCTGTAGAATAAATCGATATACCTTACAAATTTCCTCTAAAATCTCATCACGTAAATATGCGGACATGAGTTCAGATCATTCTTTGCGACAGCAAAGAATAACTTCAATTCCTAATAATTCTCAGTATTTATCTAGTAATTCCAGGGTGGACGATAAACACCAAATCATAATTTTACAGCAGCCACCTGAAAGGGATAAGCAAAGTAGACCTCACTCACCGAAGATCATAGAAAATCATCCGAACCTTAAACAATTTAATACCTCCGTCAATCGTAAACAAAGGAGAACTTCCTCGCATTCCCACCAAGATCTATTTACCGGCAATGGTAATTGTTTAATCGAAAAAGTAGTCGCTATCAACGTTAAATCGCAACCCAATTTATCCGCCCATTCTCAGAACCATTCCAACACTGCCACCGGCATATCCGATTCCGCCTTTAAACTAAGTCATTCAGCTGGCCAAATTCATCAAGATTCTCTAGTCCCCTCTGAATCACCTGCTAACTTAGAAAATGGGTTATTTAATTCTTATTCCGACCGATCTGATAGGTCATCAAGCACAGTTAATTCACAAAAGTCATCACTTCATATCTGTCAAGGTGACTATTCAAATCTCTGCCGTCAGATTTTCGTCCCACCTTCGATATTAATGATCGCCTCGAATATTACACCCGAAAAAAGAACAGAAAAGATTTTGATCAAACCCAATCTCGTTTACTCCAACAAAAACAACAACAATAGCAACAGTAGCGGGGCTGACACCGACGAAGGTCAGAAGAAGCCAGATAACAACCCGATCGATAAACGTAACTCAATAGCATCTATCGTGAGTGACAAAAAGAAAATAATGACCACTTCCCGCATTCAAAATAACGCTGTCGTTAAAGTTAAATCGAATACCGATTCGCATAGCCTACCAAATAATAACCGATCTAGGCCATCACACCACAATAGTCCCACTTCGGGGGACAACAGGAAGACCGAGAGAGCCGATAAAAAATGTTGTTTTTGTTGGTGCGGGTGTTGTAAATGTTCATGGTAATAAATTTGTTCTGTTATGTATAATATTTGACAACAATTATTATAAAAATAATTTCATAAACGAGTCGAGAAAAAACGGAAAATGCGGGAGGAAAATAAATAAGGAAAAGGAAGGGAGGAAGAAAAGGAGAATAGAAAATAAGAATAGATAACCATCTTTTAATATATTTAGGCTCCCGACCCAAAACGAACGAAAAAGTAGCATCAAAAAGCGTGAATCAAAGCACGAATCCATCGTTTTAACCGAAGCAGAGCCGTAAATATTTACATAATTTCATAATTATAACAGAATAATTCATTTTAAACTTCACAGATATTTATTTTTATATATTTTAATAAGATTTTTTTAACTTTAATTACTTATCAGAACATCTAATTTCTCGTTTTAATTTAATTTCATTTTTATTTTAAAAAAGTTTTATAAAAATTATCTTCATTATAATTAAAACTAGCGAAGCGAACTTCATTAATCTGCGAGAAACGGAAAACCCTCATTGCCAATTTTTTTGTTTAATTTTGCAACTATTTTGGTCCCCAATCTAACAAAAAATAAGTAAAAATTAAGTATCCGGAAAAAAAAATTAGTGAGACTTGGAAGAAGATTGGAAATTAATAATGTTATATATTTTTAATCGAATTTATCATTTTTTGGAGCAAATTTTTTTCTTTATCCTTCCCCTCCCTTAATAATTTCGAAGAGATTTATTTTATATTATTGCATTTGGAGCAAAAAAAATTCATTTTGTTGTAGTGTCAGTTTTGCAGATTTCAATTTTTTTTAAAATATATCCAGGCCGGGCTTAAAAAAAAATTTTTTTTAAATACCCGGGCCAGTATATTTTTAAGCCATTTTAAATCGCCATTATTATCTATAAAAATTAAAAATAAATAAAAAACATTTTAAAATAATCCGGCGTGCCGGGTATTAAAATATAAAACCCGGGCTGGACCGGGTCGAAAATTTTTTTTTTTAAAGAAAAAATTCGGGCCAGGCCACGCAAATGGTATATCTGCAGGTCTCTGAATTATAATATTTAAGAGATGCGCCGATAACTTTGCATCGATCCAGAGGCTACTAAAAGGGAATCGAAACAATTTGCTTTTTTAAAAGAGGGTTTAAAAATTACAAATTATTTTGATCAAAAATTTATTATTATCACGGTAAATTATTTAAAGGATATCACTATCAGCGGCGATACTCCTAAATTTGAATAAAATATTTCTCGTTTTTCTTTTTTAAAGAGAGAATTTTGCTCAAAATTATTTGTAATTATTTTTCAAATTCTTTTTTTTAAAAATTATTTTATATGAAAAAAGCACCCCCCCCCCCTTCCTTTCTACTTATTTTTATTTTATTAAATTAATCTCTTCTCTTTTTTAAAAAAATTATTATTATTTAAATAATATATTTTATTAATTCATTTATTTTAAAAAAACTTTATATAAATTTGTTTCCGCGAGTTGGCATAATTAATTATATAAATCATTTAGACAACAAATATTAATTTAATGTAATTTTGAGTTTCTTGAATAAATTATCTCTAAATCATTCAGAGAAAAGGTAAGGGTAAAAAAAATAAATAATTAAGTTGTCAATCTTATTATCGATTTTAGTGTATCTCCCTACAAAATGATTATAATATTTCTTGTTATTTTTACATGAGTTACAAACCTATATGCTGAATATCTCTCAAAGCAGAAAAAGGGGTGGATATATTATATATCGCTATTTTGATTTTTTTTTTGTTCGAATTTAGATAAATTTGTGTCATTTTTGTGATTAGTGAAGTCAGTTATTTTGGCAATAAAAACTTGGGGTATTTAGGGTTAGGATAGATTTATCTATGTTATTTTAAAAAATTAATCGCTTCGAACACATTGAGATTTATCTTGAATGTCAGTTTAGCGAACCTAGACCAAAAAAAAACTTTCATTCACCTTGATTTCTGTATATATTTTTTTCCATTTCACATATATTATATATCTAATTAGCGGCAATGTGTTATTTTTTCGACTTTGCATCATATTTTGAGCACGTTTTTTAAATTTAAAAATCTGATTTTACCGGCGAATAGTAGACAATATTGCCGTCAATGAATCATTTATAATTTATATAAAAAATATATGGAGAAACTTACATAAATAATATTAAGCTCAAAAGTTCATGGCAAAATTCCCTGAAATTTATAGGGTAGGTATTCAAAACATATACATTTCCGGTAAAATCAGAATTTTAAAATTTAAAACAAAGCGCTCAAAAAATGATTTAAAGTTGCAAAAATAACACATAGCCGCTATCACATAATCTGTCAATTCGTGTAATGCCAGTATACTTAAAAATAATTATTAAATTATTTAGAACACTTTAAATCACTTATTTTACCGCGTTTTTTTAAATTAAATAATCTAATCTTTCCAGAAATGTACAATTTGAGTATTGCCTTTTACTTAATAATAAATATAAATACCGTTGATTGGTCTTCAAGAGAACTCATTTACAATTTATTTTTTTTTAAAAATTACCAAAGAAAATTGATTTTTATTTATATTTATTACATATAATATGAAGCAAATTATATTTTTTTAATTATTAACCTCAATCTCGAAGAATAATAAAGTATATAGTATAAATATATATATATATACACAAGTCTCATACATAAGCATATAAATTATTTATGACCATGCCTTTTTGCCTTTTATAAATCTACTAATACATTTCTAAAAAAAATATATCTATAATTTTAGTTTGTTAGGTGCCTATAACATGGCACAAAAATAATAACTCATTCCTCTTTATAAAAGCTAGTAGAGAGATTATATATTTTTTTTTCCGAAAAATCTTTGATATCTTTTTGATAAGTTGAATATAAAATAAACAAAATTTTAAATTGGCAATTTTAAAAAAAAAAGTGACACCATTTTAATTATATAATTAAATTAAATATTATGTGATCAATTTTTTTCTTTAAAAAAAAACTTTTTTTTTGGTAAGTGAAATCAAATAGAATGTCACTTAATAATTTCATTTATTTTTACAAAAGAGCAATTATATATTTCCTTTTTTTTTCAAAAACACTATGCCATATTATTAACACTATAAAAAAGTAAAAGAAATAAGTGTAATAGTACCTGGATGTAGATTTTGACTTTAACCAGATTTCCAATCCCAAAAATGAAGTTATTTTGCAATAAAGCTAAAAATGTATTGTTACATTTGTAAGCGAATTGAATTTATGTAGCTCCAATAATTTATAAAAGGATTCATCTATATCGATACAAATTAATATTTTCAATTGTATTCGATACTGATGATCCTATCAAGAATACATTCCTCCTATTAGTAAAAACATTTTTGGTTATGCTACACTGAATTCGCGTTCTACCGATATACTGAAAGAAATTGTAGTGTTGTATTATATAAATTTTATTGGATAGAGCAGCTAAATAAGTATTGGTAACGTTGATTAATCTAATACCTAAAGAAGATACATTGGCTAATAAATCGACTTGATGCACTAAATCTTAGATAGACTAATGAACATATTTGAACTTTTATCATAATAAAAATTTTGAATGCTAAATTTCCCTTAAGTGATACAATAATTACTTAGTAAGGCAAATTTATTCTGATCCTCTCTCTGGATTTGGATGATATTTAGCTCTGATTTTATTATTAATATGCAATAAAATAAAAAACGCATATATTTTAAAAGGTTGGCAAATCTGTCAATTTACCTGTCAAATTTAGTCAATCGACGGGTAAATTGACCGAAGGAGCATTTGACCTGGTGAAATACGGCCAAATACTCAAATAAATTTGAAGGAAATAAAATTTATAATATATTTGAAAAAAGAAAAACGATATAAATACATGTGATCAACATATTTATTGGATCCCTAATATCAAGGGAATGATCATCTTACTAATAGTAAACTTAATGAATCAAATAATATAATACAGGAATTAGCCATTTTATAAGGTGGTATGATCAAAATATTTCAAGTGATACCATAAAAATCAAAAGTAAAAGTGACATATATAATAACAAAAATATATGGAAAAAAGTAACTTCCATAAGAAACAATATGATGATTTTGGCTCAAGTTGGTGTAATGGGCTTTGCCCACCTTGCCCTTTAAAAACATACTTCTACTTCAAAAAGAAATTGGTCGATTTGGGTTAATATTTATAAGAGAAACAGATATCGATTGAAAACCCTGGCAATAGGAAAATTGATTAAAAATATCAAAAAAAAATGATAATATTGAATATGAATCCGAACAAGACTTTTTCACGGAGAACGAAACATTAATTATAGAGAGACAATGAATTTAAAAAATTTTTTATAAATTAATATTACAGATTCATTTTGCTATTTACAAATACAATTCTAAATTTTGAATACAAAAAAAAAGAAGAAATTAATTCCTAATATTATCCCATTCGCAGCTTATTTAGAGCCCTGTTTATAACCATCCTATCTGAGTTGAATCCGAATCTGATAGTCCAAGCGAATTTGCACCGGGTGAACTCAGGCAAATTTTATGAGGTTCGGTCTAGCCGAATTTTCATTTTATATTCATTAGGACCCGGAACAACTTGGGTCTCCGAAAAATAATCTGATTGGTAGAACAATTATATTTTTTAATATTTTCTCGAATCATGTTGGATTTGGAAAAATAGGTTATCACGTACCATCTATAGTTTTTTTTTGAGAAAACTAGTCATGGTCACATAGTAAATCTTTATTTTCTTATAATATTTTTGATAGATTTATTCTCCCCCCCCCCCTCCTTACTCTGATAAAATGAATAAAATTATATATAAATTTAAAAGGTTATAATTTCTCCAAGTAAAGAAGAGAATATGATAATAATATTTGTATTTAGATTAAATTTCTTACACTAAATAATATCTCTTTCTTAAAGAAAATAAAATAATATTAAAATAGGATCAAATTTATCTTTATTCCAAAAATTTTATTTTATGATTCCAGAGTAAAATGGTAATATTTTTTAATATGTTTTTTTTGTATCTCCTCTAAAAAAAAAATAAAATTAAAATAAATTTTTGAAAATTCGCAATATTATACCATGATAGGGCAAGATTATCGATTTTTTCTTTATCATTATTTTAAATTCAGAAAATAGTTAAATATACAAATAGTTTTTTTATTTTGTCTTTTACAGGATATTTTAGTTTTTCCTTTTTTTTAAACCAAATTAAACTGTCACTGATTGGTATAAAACAGAGTTTTGAAATCGGAATCAAAAACCAGTAAATAGAACTTTTGCATCCGGAAAAAACCCCCCAAAACTGGAATCAGAAACCGACCTTTTAATTTATAGGAATTGAACCCGGTTCTAACAAAAGTATTGTTTTAAAAAGTTAATCATTTATAATGTTTGAATTTTTCTTCTTTTTATAACTTTGCCCCGCTTATTAACAAAATTCATAGGCTACGTCTTTCGCGGACAATTTTTAAAAAAATAGGCAAAGCGAATACACGCTTTTTTTAAATTTATTTATGCGGATGAAAAAAAGGGCGCGAATATTTGCTAAGACACTCAGTCAACATACATAGTCGATATCCATTTTGTAATGGATTAATTTTATATTTTAGTCATCGATGGGGGGCCTCGAAACCTTCGAACAACGTCAATGCCTAAATATATAAAATATCTTTATTGTTATCACTATCCTTTTCTCTTGATTAAATCAGAAACTTTTAAAGGGCTTACTGGAATATATATATAGTCTAGAGTGATGGTAAGGCCTATATTGCGTCAATCGAAGGTCAGACATAAATTGTCGAGTTCAATAATGGCTGACCAATGAATACTAATTTTTAATCATATGTAACAGTAAAACTTGTTTAATTTTGGGCTCTTGATAATTGGGGCAACTTCAATTTGACCAAAACTTTGAGTCTCAATCAAATTTCAATTAACTAACATCATTAGTCTTGTTATATATTGAGCAATTGCCTAAGTTTGGCAAAAATTTGGGTTCCAAAGCTGCCCAAATCAGACAGATTTTATTGGGTATATATATATAAAATAAAAGAATTTATTTTATCTAATATAAAAATTTTTTATTAGAATTAGATAGAGTTTTTAATAATAGAATATTCGACTTTTTTTAAAAAAATAAAATACATTTATCAATTTAAGAAATTTTTTTCAACCATTGGGATGACACATACTGACATGAATTTTTTTTTCTTTTCTCTCTCTCTTTGATCATGATATTATTTATCCTAATTTTATTAAAAACATTTGATAAGGATAACTAATTTTTAGCAAATAATAAATAATTGATTGCAATATCTGTCTAGGAAGAAAATTTTTAAAGTTAATTGGGTGGGTGTTGAATTTAAATTAAAATCTGGAGTTATTTACTAATTTATAACTTTTAGTGGAACAAGAATGATATTTTAATATTTCTGACCTTGTCAAATATTTGATCTTTGACTCGATCTTAAATTTTAGAATAATATTCTATTTTAGTTTTTTTTTCTCTTCTTCATTTCCGAATTCAAATCTGAAAATATTTTGCAATGGCTGATATTATATAATATAAATTAACAGAGTAGTTAAAATATCGTGGCATTTGTGTCGAACTATTATATTATGATAGATAATACTTATTTGATGTATCTGTATCGAACATTAAAATAGTTCGCCAAATGCATCAATATATTATTATCTATATACATTTTTTAGTTGTATCATTAACATAAACAAGCGCATAGATAGCTGGAGAGTTAACCAAAAAAAATACAAATTATTTATAAATTTTTTAAAGAAATATTAAAGGTTTTGATGATTTGCAAATAGGTTATATTAAATTTTAAATAGCCTGTTCTAAGTGACTTTTAGAGAAATATCAGAATCGTTTGAACCAAATATTTCATATGAAGCAGTTAGATTATTGGATTATATACGACAGCCTCGTTTCTTTTTTTTATTGATATATTATAATCGAAAAATGTATCTCGTGGTTTCTACAATTAATATTATATATTTTTTACTTGTCATTAATGAAATAAATTTATGTTTATATATCATTGTTTCCTTCCCGAAGCTTATAAATTGTTCAATAAAAATTTTTTAAATAAAATCTAATCCATCCTATCTATTACGATATCGAAAAAAAGGATAACTTATGACGAAGTTCGAACATGGGGAACCTCCTTCGAAAGGGTGATGAAAACGCCAAGTTTATTGTTAATATTTATTTAAATATACTAATTAGTAATATTGTTAAATTAATCCTATTTTAACTATTCGTAATCGCTTTTAATGTATGTATTGTGGTTTAGTCTAAAAAATTTCCCATAATTTAAGGCCTCTCTTGAGACCCCCTATACTTTTTGGCCACCCTCTTAGGCGTTGCGAAGTGTCTGTTTACGACTCTTATTTTCGTAAATTTTATGCTAATGATCGTTACCCTTTTTCCTTTGCAAAAAATGTTGAAAAAAAATAAAATAATAAGATGCGAATAGTTTTGTTTATATTTTGAATAATTGTCAATCATCCGTTCATTCTGATAAGCCAGGAAAGGGTTCTTACTAGCTTAATAGAAAAAATAAATAAATTCCATTATGAAGTAATTTTATTGCTAAACCAAGAAGTAAATTTTTTCCTAAACCCAAAATTTTTCTTTCACAAAAATAATGATTCGAATCTTTAACCCTTGATTATCTCATATGAAAACCTAAGTATCAAGCTATAAAATATGTAAAGTTTACTTGATAAGATTTCTAAAAAATAAAATACAACATTTTGCTTGCCAATTTCTTTAAAAAAATTAAAATTTTACATTAAAAATATACTTTTATTTCTCAGATGGACGGGCTACCTTTCGCGACTTTTTGAAGCACGAATACAGCGAAGAGAACATGCTATTTTATTTAGCTTGCGAAGAATTGAAGAAAGAAAAATCCCAAGAAGCGATAGAAGAAAAAGCGCGCCTAATTTATGAAGATTACATATCTATTTTATCGCCTAAAGAAGTAAATAATTGGTTTCCATTTCTAAATCATTAAAGAAAAAAAATTGGGAATCTCGCTTTAGTTTTGTTAAACGGCTCGTTTTGAGCCGATTATTATAAACGGCTAAAGCAATTGTCTAAGCATCTAGATTTCGCTATAGATGTTTAACCCTTTGCGCCATCTATGGGCGAAATCTTCAGGCTTGCATAATATTTTTGTGGATAAAATATTGAGTTAGCCATTTTAAAAATCGGATTAAATCTAGCCGTTTAACACTATATCTCCTAGAAAATTTAAAGTAAATTTGAAATAAGTATAATAGATGTCAGGGAAGTAAGCACTCGTATTTAAATTGAGTTTTTTTTTAAAAAAAAAAATGAGGGAAATGTCATCAATATTTCCAAATGTTGTTCCCAATTGTGGGAACAATGATGATATTTCCTCTATATTTAGTGATTTTTTTAAAAAACTCAATTTTAATACAAGTGTTTACATCCCTGTTTATTAATATTATTTTCAATATTACTAAATTTTCTTGGTGATATAGCGAAATTCCCAATTTTTAGCCATTTTGTTTTAGCGATTTAGAACTTACCCCGTTTTTTAAAAATATTCTCATTTGTTGTGATAATTACAAAAATTTTTGTTGTTTAGTTCTTGAAAAATTGCTAAAGAAATTATATTTTAATTATCGGAGATCAGATCAATATTTACTACATAATTATATGACAAGTCAACAACCGATAATTTAATTAAGCCTGATTATAAATATTACCGTAAAATATTCAGTAATCATATATAACTATCTTTAAATAATGACTGAATACAGGTGAGCTTGGATTCTAGGGTTAGAGAAATAATCAATCAAAAGATGGTAGATCCCACCAAAGATACATTCGAAGAAGCTCAATTGCAAATATACACATTAATGCACCGAGATTCCTATCCTCGCTTTTTAAATTCCGTATTTTATAAAAAATTACTCGACCAATACAAAAACAGTACTCCAGAAAATAAATGAATAGTGGTGTAAATATTTATATAACCTCAGTAATGAGAGTCCAAGCAAATCAAAAAACAATCAAAAACGTCATTCAAATAGATTAACAAACCACGTGTAGATTTAAAATACCCGCAAATTAGATATAATTTTTCTAGATTTTATATGCAGTCTAAACCAGCTTATAACAATTTCTCAGGGGGACAAGAAATTTAAAAGCTAAAAGCGGGGAAGACATTATAAATATACGCTTGTTATATTAAATCGGAATCTGAATGATATAATTTATGAATGTGCAATTTTGTTTCTCCAAGCTGGATTATTGGAGACTTTTGACGTATAATGAGCGTTTAAAAAGCTTAAATTTAATAATTAAGAGAAAACCTGCCTCTGAATAAATTTGGGTTTTAACCAAAATTTTAATAATTTCCTTAAAAAGTTGTAATTAGTTAATGAGTAGTTTTTTGTTTTTATCAAAACTATGTCGATTTTTAATAAATATTTAAAAAAATAATAATAATTCAAATGGCACTTAGAGCTACTCCGAAAATAATCCAGTGAAAGATATTAACATTATATTATTTTTATATAAAAACTTTGTTTAAAAATATCAATTGAAAAATCTAGAGTATAAATAATATAAATGTATAAACGAGGCGAATATATTTTGTATTTTTTTTTTTACAAAAAATGAATATAATTTTCCGAAAATGTGATCTTTTATTATTTTAATAAATGTCGAAAAAATAATAATATTTCCCCGTTGTAATTTTAATAATTGTGTTAAATTTTTTGCATGGAAAAAAAAAATTGAATAACTATTTATTTTTTTTCAACTCCTTTGTCTCGTGTATGATAAATTTATACATAATATTATAATTTAAATTGTATACTTTACTTCTTATTGATTTTTTTTTTAAGAAATAAAAGACAAACTAAATTTATGTATTTAAATTCAATTATCCTTGAATTTTAGTTTTGTCCTAATAAGATTTAGGAATTGTTTTTTAATAATCCTTAACAAGGGTATATACAGAGATGGAGGGAGGGGAGGGGGGGGGGGTATAAAGAATTCTTAGAGCAAAAATATTTATCAATTTTTTTTATTATTATTTAAGTATATAAAATCAAAAGAATATATTAATATCCTCATATTCATACAAATTAATCCTAACAAGAACTACAACCCGAACGAATGGAGCTGTAAAGTTCAGTTCGTGTTCATAGTAATTATTTATTTTAAATTAAATAATCTTATTCGCATTTACCTACATTTCATGTGGTTTTGTTCAATTTTATCAACAAATTTGTTTGTTACTTTTAAATATTTTATTAAAATTTATTTAAAATAATTTAAAAGTTGATTTGATTGATATATTATATAATCTGATTGGCATTTTAAGAATTTTGATTTACATTTCTGAACACGGATTTTACCTGTTTTTACTCATTCACCCTCAGGGTTTTTAACAAAAATCTTCTTAAAAATTGTAGATTTTTTCGTAAATTTTTATTTTGTTTTTTATAAAAAAATCTTCTATGATTTTTCCTTTAATGTTTTTTTCATTTAGATTTTTTAAAAAAAATTTAAAAAATTTTCAGGCCGTGTCCAAAGTATCAAAAAATTTAATCGCGCAATTTGCGCAAATCTGGCTAAAAAAATAATATAAGCCATTTAATGGAAAATAAAAATTTTGGCCTAAATCATTTTTTCCATTTCGTGAAGTTTTAAAATTTTTACGATTGGTAAATATTTAATGATAATGGATGAATATAAACTTATGGAAAGTATTAGACCACATAGATATTTGTGGTGCAATAGCGACCTAAAATATAGAGATACAGCTGCAAGTAAAGTAAAATGGACAGAAATTGGCAAGATTTATGATCTAAATTATGAACAAATTAAGAAAAGGTTTGTTGCAATTAAGACCAAATTCAACAAATTTTATTCTATATCTAGGAAATCAGGTTTAATATTTTATATATAAATATTATTTTATATTAATAGTATAAATATTATTTTATATTAATAGTATAAATATTATTTTATAATTTAATTTAGGTGCTGCTATGATGAATAGCAAGCACCTGAAATTTATTGAAGACTATTACTGGCTAAAGGAAAATGTGGAGGATATTTGTAAACATTCTGAAGCAAGTTTCATTTTGAAACAATCTAAGGATACTATAAATATACATTCCACACCACAAGTATTATAACAGGAGATTATAACTATATAATAATCTATATTGTAGGATTCTGAGCCAAACACTGAGGATCTGTTAAATGATATTGTAAATTCTCTTAATTCTATAGAAATAGATATTTTTGAGAACAAAATTTTAGAAGTTATATATTTATTAAATATCTATTAATAATTTAATAATAGTTAGAAAATTCTATAAAAAATGAAAATATTCATCCTTCTACCTAAAAAAAAATATTATTTTCTGAGAATGAAATTTTAGAAGTTATAAAATTATTATATATATATATATTAATAATTTAATAATAGTTAGACAATTCTATAAACAAGGAAAATATTCATCCTTCTACCTCAAAAAGGAAATATTATTTTCTGAGAATGAAATTTTAGAAGTTATAAAATTATTATATATATATTAATAATTTAAGGGCATGACTAAAATACGCGTCCCCGGAAACTACGCTTCCCCGGTCAAACGGGTTTAATTTATGTAATATTAATAAAAAATCTTATTTAGCTTTATAAGATGAGTTAAAAAATGTTTTTTATGATTTAAAAAAAAATGATAACTTAGTAAAATTTTTAAAAAATTATTTTTTTACATGAAAAAACTACGCGTATCCGGTCAAGATACAATTTTTTTTTAAAATAAAAGCAGATTCATATTTAGCTCATTAAATGAATATAGAAAATGTTTTTTATGATTTAAAAAAAATGATAACTTGGTAAAATTTTTAAAAAATTATTTTTATAAATGAAAAACTACGCGTCCCCGGTCAAGATACATTTTTTGTAAAAAAATAAAAGCAGATTCATATTTAGCTCATTAAAAGGATACAGAAAATGTTTTTTTTGATTTAAAAAAAAAGGTGGTAACTTAGTAAAATTTTTTAAATACTAATTTTTTACATGAAAAAACTACGCGTCCCCGGTCAAGATACAATTTTTTTTAAAAAAAACAGATTCATATTTAGCTCATTAAATAGATAAAGAAAATGTTTTTTTTATTTAAAAAAAAGTGGTAACTTAGTTTAATTTTGAAAATACGCGTCCCCGGTCAAGATAGATTATTTTTATAAAAATGAATATAGAATCGTTAATAGTTTTTTAAGGAGATTCCGAAAATGGTATTTATAATTTTTTTTTTTTTAAATTTTATATTAAAAGCCAGCTTCATACACATAATAATGGTGGTAAAATTTTCTCAAGCCTGCCAAGCGGTAGTGGTATCATGATATTAATACTAGTTAAAAAATATTGATTAAATTAAGTTAATTTTAATAAATCAAATAATTTAAATAGTTAGAAAACAATAAAATAAATTATTCAACCTACCTATTTTTTTAATGGTAGATATAAAAGTATTATAATATAGAATGAGAAAAAATTTAGAATATTTTTATAAATTATTTTAAATTTATTAAGTAGATGTAGTGTCTTAAAGTTATAAGAAATTTGTGTATTTTATAGCAATAATAACCTGAGGATGATAAAAAAAACATAAGTTGTTTGTTCGCAGGTAAGTATCGATTCAATCTTTAATTATTATTTTTTGTTAATATATTTATTTAAATAGTTCGAAAACAATAAAATAAATTTATTCAACCTACCTATTTTTTTACTGATAATTTAGAATGAGAAAAAAATTAGAATATTTTTATATATTATATTAAATTGATAAACGCCATTTTGCGGATTGAATATTAACGATTTACATCTGATATATAATCGTAGTTGTTACAAATCCGAACTTAACTCAGGGTGTTAATGTTGTATTGGGAGAGCTAATTAGGAATCAAAGGTATATTAAATCTATATAAATAAAATAAAGGATTAATTTTAATAATAACGATTGCTAACCACTTACTTTTGAGCACACCTAAAATAATATAATGTAAACTCTTTTAAATAATTCCAATTTATTAAATTATCGTATTACCTTTCTCTATTTAGAAATATTTAGAATCTCTCTGTCTGTAATTAATTTCAGATACTATAATTAATGTAAACAAATTTTTCTTTTTTATAAAATTCCACTCTAACTAACTTTATTGAAAATTGAATCATATATTTATACCTAATTATTTGCATATTAAATATAATAATTTTTCGAAGAATAAAAATATAAAATTAACATATTATCATTTAAATATAAAAATGTAAAATCTAGTACAACTATTACTAATTTTTCGAAGAATAAACATATAAAATTAAACTATTATTATTCAAATATAAAAATGTTAAATTTCGTACAATATTAAATCTACATAATACCACATCTCCCTCCTTCAGTTCTCCCTTACCCCCGTTGTGTTCGCCGCTTCTACCATGTTCCTGCTCGGTACACTTGAATTATTATTCGTTGTTAACTCCAAGCTGGGACAAAACCGTAATTTATGTTCTCCACCACAGGCCCAACAATCTAATCTCCTTCTTGCACCATATGGGGTTGTTCTTCGATCCCCTCTTGTTCTAGTCGGAACTTCTTGTAACCACTCCCCGTATCTTCGTCTGGCTTCATTCCTTGCCGCTTCTACCCATCTGTTTGATTCTTCTGAACCGTCAACGTCTCTTATCTCGATCCTCATTATCTTGTTACCAACTCTAACATACGAGGCCATCTAAATAAAATACTTTATACACATATATATATATTCTTCGAACTCTTATTTCTCCATACTAGGTTAAAATTTCTTCTCTGACTCTTTAAGTCTATCATCCCTTTTATTTCCTTCAATTACGATTCTCCTACTATGTATATCATCAATTTCCTTTCTAAATTATGAATCTCTTAATTATGTCTCATCAGTAAATCTGATTCTCATAATTACGTCTTTCATCAATTTATTTCTTCTAATCCTTCGTATATTTCTTATTTCTCTCTAAGGCCCTAAGCTTCTAAGCCTTACTTGCTTCAGGTGCCTTGTAAAAACTCCTTCTTGTCCTTCAATCTTTACTTCTACTTCTTTTTTTTCCTATATTTTTGCTTATTACACCCTTCCCACATTTAATAAGCCCATCAAACAACAATACCCACACCAAACTTCCTACTGGAAATCTTTCAATCTCTACTTGTTCTCTCCTTATCACTTTTTCCTTTAAAAAATCTAATTCTGATCTCGTCTTTCTT